CCCTGAATTACAAAAAGACCCTGATAATAAACGAGCCTCTACATTGCGCACGCAAGCGCATATAAATAAAATTGGTTTCGGAAAACACTTTCATCTTCTCGACGATGAAAAATGTAGCATTCTGGCGGACTGATTTCAATTGATTATTTGCGAAAAATTGTGCAGTTGTATGTATGTAAAAAGAGAAAATTCGGACGTTGTTCGTTTAAATAAATTATTACTGAGCTATAATTACAGCCATCCAAATACTTACCACATGCTGGGAAAAATCCATAGATTTTTCCATTCTGCAGCTCAAGTTTCTGAATAAACTTGCAAAAATGTTTTTTTAGCCAAAGCTGAAAAGGCAAAAATCTATCGATTTATCTTTCTCGATAATTTTGCATGGAAAATTAATCAATAGCTTAATTAATAACTAATTAATTTATTAGATTTATGAATAACTTTTTTTAACGTTGTTTCGAAAAAACGTGTTCACATTCGAATTTATGGGGCCAACATGTGTCGAAAACATGTTTTCCTTTCGTGCCGAAAATCGCCCTCAGCATCTGGACTAATAAATCATTATGAATATCCAAGTCGAGCTTTTACCTTGAAAAATATTTGTCGGAATTTTTTTAGTTATACTACTAAAAAGACAAAAAAAGAAAATCAATAGATATGTAGCTGTAGATTTTTTTCTGGCAAGTGTTTGTGAGCGAGTTGAAGATACTAGACATTGAGACACGAATGCCACATTTGCGCGTGGTAGCCAGTTTTTACTGGACGCACTCATATATGTTAACGTAACCGAGACTCGACTCGACATTTGACCCACTTCCGCTCACGTAAAGCACAACGCGCACTGCAATAGATCCTTTTATTTTTTCTTCTCGTCGGCTGATACGACTAATCGAGGCTGGACACTTTTCTGTGCCTCCATATCATGTATCGAATATCCATCTCATTGAGAATAATTACAAACTTCCTCGCCCGTACACGAAATCCAACTACGCTCGTTTGCGCGCGTATCTCTTGTCATAATCTCGATCGTTGACACCGGCCGAGTATAATACACACGATGCTTCTAATACGTACACCTTATATACATAACCGACAGCGAAAGTGACAAGGGCACTGAACGATCGATGTCAATGTGAGTGTAATCAGCCTAGGTTTCTTCAGTTCTTTCATGGCACAACTGCAGTAAGGCACTCCTGCCACGCGCACGAGCGAGACATAACTAGAGATGAAATTCCAAACGAAAGAAATGGTTCGACGAACCATTGGTTCGTTGACCAGTTTCATAATAGCGATACTGTCCGCCTTACGATGTATTTAAAGGTCAGATAGTTAATCTTGATCGACAGCTTGAATCGCCAAGCGATCGAATAAATACAATTATATTCAAGTTGCATGCATGATTTTTTCTCCGGAAAATAAAAATCAAAACGACCCTCGCAAAGAATATCTCATTGTGCACTCGAAGCATGGTTGAGATCCAAGACGCGTATGTCATTTGCAGCTCCGAGAGGGCATACAACTTTGCCTTGTGCAGCGCGAGCAGTCAACGAGCGCATAAACTCGCTTTGTCTATTTCTATTTATAAATGCGAGCACATCGACTCGTCGCTCGTGTGTTCGTAAGCGAATGATACGTAGGCTACTTACGCTACGCAGCCTGAAACAACTTTTTGTACTGTCAGCTTTTCGATATGGTGATACGTACTTGCGACGTGCCGATACCAATACCTATTCATGGTTCAAATCAAGAAATCAGTTTAAATGTATCTAGACAGATCGAAATATTGTGATAATTTTGAAAACCAGCCAAAAAAAACCTGGAGTTATGAAGCAACCTATCCACGCTCGAGGCAGAAACTCGTGTAGAATGTAGCTACTTCATTTTCGGTGGATCAAACATGATCTAATATACGCATAACTCATTTCAAATTTTGGTTTCATTGTATATTCGAAAAATTTCATATAAATATATGTTCCAAGTGGCAGTTTGTATTAGGCCACAGAAGATTCATCGAGTATCGACAAAATTTATATTTTATTTCTCCAAAGCCTTGAGAAATCGAATTAGACTTTGGATATGTGTACACGTGCGAATAAGAAAATATTGCGTAAATCGACTATGAGTTTTTTTATTCTCTTTCATGCTAAATACGAAAGAAGATTACAGTTTTGCATCCTCGAGTTCAAAGCGGTGCCCTTATTGTTCTTGTATAACGATTCCTTGTTAGATAATAAGTAAAGGCCCCATAGTCAATTACGTAAAATTAGCGATACGATAAAAACCAGTAGAGTAAGAAAATCAAGCTGTGTGGCGTCGATCCCAGGGGAGTATTGATAAGAATTGAGAACTTACACTCGGCACGTAAATCCAAATGTGTCCGACCTTCCCAAGGATTGTCTTATTTGGCCGCCGCATGTTCTGCATTTTGTATACCGCGAAACGTGTGCATTATAAAACAGCGGAATGCTGCGCGTTGCACTTCTTTGGACATAGGCGCTCTGTGTACGTGGAAAATGGGCCAAGCAACGGCCGTTTATAAATAAAGGTGTGCCAGCTCTTTACACTTAAAAGCTCGTGTTCGGCTACCATAAGCTGGAGTGTCCCAAGTCTTGCTAGCCTGTTTGTACGTGTGCACTTTGAGGGCGAAAAATTAGGGAAAAACATGGTGCGGATAAACATGCTCACACACATAAGTATGCATATTATATACATATATTTTATATCTATATATTATAAACACGCGTGTACAGCTAAACCTTTTCCAACATGTACTCGTGGCTACGTAAACATTGTGCAATTCGAGAAATTTTTTTATATACAGAGCGATGCGATACTGATATTGTCTGAGATTTTATGCAATCCGATCAAAAACATGCATATATACTTGGGTGCGTACATTTTTTACATCTCTGAACGCGCTGCTCGTATTTGTTTATAAAATTCGTAGTAGTTTCACTCAAACTTTGAGCTGCTGAATGTCATATTGTAAAATGCGAGTTCAGTGTTTGACATGATTCGATCATTTGATAATCTCCTTGCGGATAAACCCGCGTTTTACCCCCGCACAATAGTAGAATCGCAACTGACGAAATGAATGGGGGAAAAATTCAGAGATCCCTATATTAATCATGAATCAATAATAATTCACATTATTCTCTGGGCTTATTTTCGAAATACCTTTTGGATTTTTACGTTATTTAGCGAGTTATGTATGCAAATAATTTATAAATTCACGTGATTGGTCAATGTCTTTGCTCGTTCGATTAGACGATCTCGTCACGTACGAGCAAATAAATATATTTAAAGTTACTTTTAATCTTCGGCTACATCACATGTAGACATCACGAGCAGAATTTTCAAACAAAAAAGCTGATACAGTGAATCAACTAACTATGCCTATTTGTTATTGTTTTCTGCATAGGCGAAAAACCGGTATAACGATACACGAAAATTCGACAAAAATCAAGCACTATTCCGTAATTAAGACTAATAATTCACACCTAAGTTTAAATGTGTTTTTGCGCTCATTTTCCTATCTATCGCACATTAATACCTTTTACATAATACAACTTGCTCACACGTATGTGCAGTCCTTAAAAATCGGAGGTAGCATTAATTTACATCACACAAACATCTAACTCGTGCATAATATCCACTCATAGACCAAACCAACGAGACTCGATTAAACTAATACGTGACTCGCGAAATTGACCAATCAATTAAATGCTTACACCCTTCCAGGCTATTTTTTGATGTGTGCACAACTAGGCGTCATAGAGCACTGCATGTTCCAAACACCACAGGTTAAGAACACTTCCGTGATTCCAGGCTTAGCTGTAAATACACACGTAACGAGCTTTTTTATTCTAATCTAAATATTTTAATCTCTTTTTTCTTCGTCTCTTGCCGCTAATCGTCGAAACTTCTTATTTTTATTTTTGATGATTTGATTTGTCGTACAACATTTAATGTTTACGTAATAATTCATATCAAGGATGAGAAAAACGCAAACAATGACATTTTTGTTGTTATCATTGTTGACTTGTTACACCATGCAATGCTTGTCAGCTTTGGCCTATACTAGAGCTTCATTATGCATGCTATTTATTTTTGTGACGGATAACTTTTAATTTCTACGTTAAACTAACTTTGCTGTTGCATAATTTTTTAATACATCAAAATATAGTATATTTTGTAACAAGTGCGCGAAGCAGTTGACTCATCTAGGAGTTGTTTTCACCCGAGCGTAGCGAGGGTGCAAAGACTCCTGGGTGAGTCAACTTCCTCGCGGACTAGTTGCAAACGATATCTTTTAACTCTGCTTGCGAGAAACTAGGGTTTTCTGACGCTTTAAGGTTAGAAAGCCCGTGTTTCGCGCACGCAGTGTTAAAATAGTATATTTCTCAACGGGTGCACATATGGTTTTTTAGCAAAACGAGGGATTATAGCACGAGCCGAAGGCGAGTGCTGTAACGAGTTTTGTTAAAAAACCATATCTGCACCAGTTTGAGATAATATTTTTTCCTACGAGAGCCTAAAATTAGCGGCAAAGTTGCGTATTTTAGGTTAGAGTGGGGAAAAATTTTTTTTATGAAGGGCTAGAATCAGAAGAAATTTTAAGAGCTTTGTTCGTATCTGTGGGTGTAAAATCATTTGTTTGTGTTTTCTGGATAATTATATTTTCCAAAAACATATTTACATTTCACCATATTCAAAGTGAACTATTTAATCTACCCCCCCCCCCCCCCCCCCNCCCCCCCCCCCAGTTGATATTTACTTATTTTGAATATGAATAATTATGGTTGCAACCTCAGAGGCTATAAGGTCATAAGAACCATGGTGTGCTCAGGTCGACCTGCACAAACACTCAACTTTTTTTCACTTTACGTTTTTTTTGTCATATTCATGATAAATATATTTAAAGGTAATTTTGATTCATTGAAAATATCAGTCTATGTACAAATTGTAAAAATTAACATTAATTCAAAACTTTACAGGAAAACGGCTGTCTATATTCTCATATTAGATGGGGTGAAGCTTTCGTAATCGTCTATAGTGTGACGTGTAAACGCAGCTTCCAAGAGGCTCGTGGATTACTGAAGCAGTTGGCCGATCTGCGATTACCTTCATACTTCACGGCATTATTGCTTGGGAATAAAAGAGATCTCGATCATGCCCGGTGAGTTGAATTGTTTTTTTCTGGATATTTTTAATTTGACTCAACTTTTTAGCTAACACCATGTAATAAATAATATGTAACTATTTTATATCACTGTGATATGTGATATGTGAGCCACGTAACTTTATTCGGTGCCCAAAAGGAATTTTTCGGAACACGAATTGAACATTTAGAAAAAGAGGCAAAAATAGATTCCGAGGTGTTTCCTCACAGTTATTACGTGAGAGGTTATGCTAGAGCCGAAATTATGACGATTGAGAAAACAATTTAATGCTGAGCGCGACAAACAACTCATTATAAAATAGTCGACGTCTTCGAATATACGACGGAACGCTAAACACTACTCTTTTCGCTCAGCCAACTATCAAATTTCTCTTCTCTAACCGAGTTGAAAGTGATGATAATAATCGGGTCGCGCCCACACATTATATCGAGCACGTATACATGCATGTCCTTTACACTGATTTCCACGAAACAGAAAGGTAGGCAACGGATTAAAGCTCTCGAACTTTTTTAGTCTGCGTGCGTTCTCTGAGCTGTGTGTAGCATAACGTGTGGATATACGTATTATAAACTGCACGTTGTAGGCGATAACCGAGTAGAGCATGCACAATTTTATGTGTATTTGTGTGTGTGTGTGTATGTGGTTAGCGAGGACAAAAACTAAAAAGGCCTGCATTATCGCGGACACAAAAGTTGCGACGCTCGATTTTCGTGACCAGATCTATCGTATTATTATTTATATTTAATGTGTTGCGATTTTGTAAAGTTTTTGCATATGAGAGTTACTCGCGAAGAAAAGATCGCTTACACGCCAAAGAGAAGCCAATCGTTTTCAAAGAATATTCGCTTGCTTGTGAGAAAGTACGCGTTTGCGTGTGTCTGCATAGAACATATGTGTATATCATAACGATTTTTACCGTAGGTTAAGATCGAGAATAGATAATATTCATGGTACATTATAATGTACAAATAACGTCAGCACTGGGGAAGGATTGATAAACGTTTCAATTTGTGTATTAGCTCAGATGAATGAGAGAGCTCCAGGAGCGGGAGCAAGACAGCTAAAAGTATAAACACTGCTTGTTTTATTGCGATTGCTTATGCGCGTCTATACATATATTAGTTTCAATGAGAGGTTGAAACAATCATCGAGGTGTTTACTTATCAATAAAAGAGCATAGAATTGGAAACCCAATGTGTTTACGTCCATTATATTGTCATGATTGATTTTATTGAAACTTTTTTCATAACGAGTGGGTTTCGCGTTTTTTGGCTCGATCGACGCCGTAGACTCACATGTGCAATTCCATGTGTACTTTTGACTGTTAGTACATTGATCGTCAGATTAATCATTTTGATTAATATCTTCGTGCGTGATAATTATTTTCTTCTCTCAATAAACTCACATATATTTGCATGTGATGCGGGTCTATGGGAATTTTTACGCTTGTGCAACATGTTCGTACTTGAAGCTTTTGGGAGCTTTGTATTTGACCTAGGTGCGTGAAAAAGTCAATGCTCAAGTTGTGCGCTCGATGTATATATCCATTAATCAGGTGTTATTTATTTTGTCATTCGTGTACGCGCTGTTATTTCGATAAGATGCTTTGTCCTTGCAAACTCATACACGCATAGTCGCATTTGTGCGCGCACAACTTTATCAGTTGCGTGTTTTCGTATGACAACGAACGTAGCAAATGTGCTTCTGAATTTTCTGCTTGGACTTTCTCCTGGTCGAGAAATCAATATACCTGTATAGAGTATTTGCGTATCTACGCTTTGTGTGTTGCACCAACGTTCGGGCGAACAAGTCGATTGTGATGGACGACGACACATTCTATTATTTTCATTTCTGACACGAATAACCTTCATATAAGCTATATTATTTTATTTATCTGCGAAATTGGTTGAAAAAAAATTTGCTCCAAGAATTGCTTGATGTCTTTATAGAAAATAAGATAGCCCTGTACATGTCATGTAGGTAAATTAATCGATATCAACCACTTGTGGTATAGACCTATCGATAATAGAATGAATGGAAAAACAAATTATTCAATGTGAATATAATCAGGTCTAAATTAATATTCAAAATTGCTTTCGAGGCCAAATAAATACTTTGCCTACATGATACATGATTCAATGTGCCTAAGTGAAGTGAAGTGAAGTTCGTGCAGATTTTATTCTTTTTTCTTCTCGTACGACTGTTCCTCGTAATTAAATTATTAATTTCTCTACATAAATTCATCGCATTTTATTTTACTTCAGCTTCAAAACTATTCATCTATAAAAAGCACATATTAGTGCAGTTAATTTTTATCCTTGAATTACCAGTGTTAAAAAAAATTTCTTATTTCTCTCTACAAAGTTGTAGCGTACCCTTGCACTACAATGTATCTATAACTTAATAGTGATTACTGTATTCATAGAAGATTTTCGGCTTGGGCTCTTTTGCCCAAGCCTGTACACTGTAACTATCCTGTAATTGAGCGGTCATTTTATCTCAATCTGCTGTATTAAGATGTACATCCACGCGTACATTAAAAAGTCTCATTACTTTCACTAAATGTTCTTGTTTCGTAAACTGATACATGCGTATCACAAAAACATGAGAAAAATTTATGTTCAGCAAGTATATACATATGCTGTATTTTATTGTGTTGTCTGTGTGTTATCACCATTGCTGTATACGATGTTTAGAGTTGAAAACTTATTTACCCCCTTCATATCCTCTCTCTTTTAAAACTGTATCGCGCTACATGTCAAAGATTTGAAAATTTAAAGTGATTATTAAACCTGCACGTAGGTTACACGATATAATGATTTTCGCAACTATTTTTTTCGTTGAGTTGTTTAGAAAGTTTCTTTTCTTCATGGGTAAACCAAACATGCAGAGATACAGAGTTTAAATTAATAGCATACATTATCCAGTATCATTGAATTTTAAAAAGAATGCAGTTTGGAAGATAATTCTGATATAAAAAATTTCCAAGAATTAATTAATTCCATTAATTATTCATTTTCAAATCTAAACCTCTATTTATGTATTTGAAAGTTTTCACTTAACATCAAAAGTTTGGAACAGTCTTTATTACTGTTGAGTAACTAATCAATTTATTGTAATGGATGGTATGTATAACCATCGCGAAAAAAATTTCATTATCTCAACAACCAGCCAATAGTTTATTCTAAGATTTTAACACATTTATGTATGTCTTTCGTAATTGCTGATTATTAGTTTTAACATCATCAATCGAAATTCTCAATAGAAAACAATCTGTAGTAACTCTAGAAAATTTTGTATGAGATATTATTAGCGTAATTATGGAAATCTGTTTAAATTACACACCAAACTTTTCGCTAGTTTTGTGTACAAGAGCAAAAAAAATGATATTTTAATATCTTATAAATTTCATGGATATTCGTTTTTTTTAAATTTATATTAAGTTAAGTTAAATAACAATTTAATATCGTAAGTGAATACAAAATCGTGAAAAACATGCAATTTATCGTATTTCTCATAAGTTCTTATAACTCATACTTTTTAATTTTTCAAGCTCTGACTACCGAGATGCCCATTGAATTAATTTTTTTTTTTAATGAAACAAATTCAATTCCTTATTAACGCTCCACGTGTGATTGTTACAAATGTTAATACAAGTATTACTATCAGTATCAAAAAAAGTAAAAAACGGTAGTAAGGGCAGAGGGTTACTTGTTTATAACAATATCATACCAGACTCTATGGATAATTATATCATCGCGTTGTGGTTGCAAAGATATGAAAAAAAAAGCAGAAAGCGTCAAGGCCCAAATAAGATGTTAAAGTCAGAGATCTTGGACGGATCGTGTATGTGTGATTCTTTGTACATGCACGCGTACTCTGTCTGAGTATAGGTGGTACTAACCTGTTTTTCACGCAAGTGTATAGAAGTAAGAGAAGAAAAAAGCGAAAATTTTCAAGATTGCCGATGCAGATAGAACCTTATTAATGCTTCGGTGAACGCAAGCGTGCGGGAGTATATAGAATCGGGGCAAAAGTGTTTTTTTCTATTTATCATGCCTGAGGCTTAGATTCCGATACACGAAGAATCTTGATTCTCTCGCCCATTTATTTATTAACATCGATATATATGGGTCAGATTCAGAATTTTTCAAATAAACCTGCGGGCGAGGTTCACGGATTTTCCTGAAATTTTGGTATGTTATAGTACATGATAAAAAAGTGCCAAAACCAAAATGTTGGACCCCCTCCCCCCTCCTACCCCCCTCCTCCCCTATAGACGTCGATTTTCTATCTATATTTTTTCTGAAGGCCTGAAGCTATTAAAAAATCTGAAAAAATTCATGAAGGTACTTTCCAAGAATCCAAACAATCTTGAATTTTTGCAGATTTTTCGAGTGCTTCAGGCCTTCAGAAAAAATCATTGAAAATTTAAATTATTTTATTTTCGGTGAAATGGTTCGATGTACCAGACCGGAGTATTTTTTTCTGAATTCTGACGTCAAAAAACGATTCCTTGAATTTTTTCAGAATTTTTCATTCATGTCCATTCAGCCTAGAGCTGAAAAACCGCTTTTTTTCACGAAAATAATTTTTTTAAGGCGCTACGGAGCCTCAAAAAATCTGGAAAAATTTTTTTCTCATTTTGTTCATCAAAATACATAATCTCAAATTTTTTCAGATTTTTTAATTGAAGGCGATAGCGTCTGGAGCCGAAAAACGTTATTTTTAACAAAAAAGGTTCCTGGAACCCGATGGTTCCGGTAAAAAAATTTGAAAAAATTTTTTTTGAATTCCTTGTCAAATTTTAATAAATTTTGACCGTCGCAAAATTTCGATTGGAGCTTCCTAGCTCATTCTAGAGCATAACAAAGATTAATGCGAAATTCTGAAGACATCTGAAAAAAATTTAAATATGATGAATGTCTTCAGAATTTCGCATTAATCTTTGTTATGCTCTAGAATGAGCTAGGAAGCTCCAATCGAAATTTTGCGACGGTCAAAATTTATTAAAATTTGACAAGGAATTCAAAAAAATTTTTTTCAAATTTTTTTACCGGAACCATCGGGTTCCAGGAACCTTTTTTGTTAAAAATAACGTTTTTCGGCTCCAGACGCTATCGCCTTCAATTAAAAAATCTGAAAAAATTTGAGATTATGTATTTTGATGAACAAAATGAGAAAAAAATTTTTCCAGATTTTTTGAGGCTCCGTAGCGCCTTAAAAAAATTATTTTCGTGAAAAAAAGCGGTTTTTCAGCTCTAGGCTGAATGGACATGAATGAAAAATTCTGAAAAAATTCAAGGAATCGTTTTTTGACGTCAGAATTCAGAAAAAAATACTCCGGTCTGGTATATCGAACCATTTCACCGAAAATAAAATAATTTAAATTTTCAATGATTTTTTCTGAAGGCCTGAAGCACTCGAAAAATCTGCAAAAATTCAAGATTGTTTGGATTCTTGGAAAGTACCTTCATGAATTTTTTCAGATTTTTTAATAGCTTCAGGCCTTCAGAAAAAATATAGATAGAAAATCGACGTCTATAGGGGAGGAGGGGGGTAGGAGGGGGGAGGGGGTCCAACATTTTGGTTTTGGCACTTTTTTATCATGTACTATAACATACCAAAATTTCAGGAAAATCCGTGAACCTCGCCCGCAGGTTTATTTGAAAAATTCTGAATCTGACCCATATACATACTTTTACAAAATGTGTGCATACGTTTGAAGTTTGATCAATACTTCGAGAGTGAGATATGACAGTTTTTCTTTATGGCATGCACGATACAGATACAGTCGAACATTTTCGAACTCTCTGGTTCTTGAACTTCCCTAATTCACAAGAATTTGTGGTCCCCTAAGAAAAAACTCCTTAATTGCTAAAAAGTACCTCTCTTATTTATAAATTTAACCTTTCATTCCCATTGAATGAAAACAACTTTACATGTAAATTTAACTTTCTTATTTTTAATTTTATTATCGGTTCACGAATAAATATACGTAATAATTCAAATAAATTATTTATCTACAAAAACCTATCTATTTCAAATTTGAATGCAATTATTTTAATTATAAAATAATTGTCTGTTGAAAAATAAAAACATGCAACGCCATCTGTTACCGAATCCTATAAGCCTGGAAGTGTAGATATCTCTACAAAGCACTTTATTAATTATATTTTATCTTATGTTTTGACGTAGCAATAACTGATTTTTAAATTTTTCAAGAGATACGCATACTTATTAAAAAAGTGATATGAAATAAAAATGATTTAAGCTAGATCAAATGGGATTTGAAATAAAAAAAAATTGTATGCAATTGTTGAAAGTGTTTTTCTTACTCTTTCCATGGCACATTTTTAAAATTTTAAAATGTTCATTTTACTCTAAGATACAGCTATTTTTCTGAGCTGTTTTCGTATATTTTGGGCAAAGTTATTGAGTCTATTGGTTGCTTTCGATGAGTAATTTTTTTTAATGGGTATGGCAAAAAATAACTGAAATAAAAAAACGAGCTTTAATGTTTATGCAGGCTGATTTCCATCGCCTAGATGCTGCAGCTCAAAGGGTACACACCGGTTCTTGCACCAAGCGACCCAAAAACATAACTTACCAGAAAACGAAAAAGTATAAAAAAATTTAACATTATACGAAAACAGTTCAAGGAAATATCCGTATCTCAGTGAGAAATAAAAATTTTGTAATTTTAAAAAATGTAATGGAAAGCGAGAAAAAACATTTCCTATAAAATAAATAAAATTTTACGTTCATTACATTTTAAGCATTATTTTGTGAGCCAAGTATGTGTGAAAAAATTAGGATAACGCGCGACTTGATTGACAGATCAGCTCGAATTAAAGGCCTCTCACCAAAGCTTGGCTATAAAAATTCAAAAACCATTTTTGTTTTCAATGTTTCAGTGAGGTATGCGTCGACGAGGGTCAGCAGCTCTCCCTTGCCCACGGCTGTCAATTTTATGAGGTAAGCGCAGCTGAGAGTCCAGCTGGTGCAGCGCTAGCCTTTCAAGCTCTGCTACGCGAAGCTCGCTCCGTACAGCTACTACGAGCTTTACCTATACGTCGAAAACTTGGTGTCCATTCAGTCTCACGAGTCCTGGGTACGATATTTGGCAAAAACAACAACAACAGCAACAATAACAATAATAGCAATGGAAATGGGGGCAATGCAAAGGATCGCAAGAAGAGGCCTTCCTTGAGCATATGACGTATCCTCTGCGCCCTCCTCCTTGGAACGGATCCGCGAAGAGACGAACCTGGCTGTCGTCAGGACGTCGTTGTCCTGAGCAGTCGTGTGTACGCGGGTCGCTGACAAATGTTGCCGCGTCGCTGCAATGGATGACGCGCGCTCGCATGTATCGTATCATGAATTTTACTCCATCCTAAGGAAATAATATTCAGTTGGCCAATTTTCGTGTTTTTTCTGTACTCGTTACAATCCAGTATATGGACGAGTTTTTTATACAATTTTAAGCTTTACAACTTGATATTATTGTTTCATAGATAGACAAAGTATTCCAAATTATTTAATATCAAGTTATCGATTATGAAATAAAAAACGTTTTTTGTCCTTCGAATTATAATGAAAAAAGAAAAAAAGAAGGTATTTGACAAAATGCATAGAACAAATGTTGCAGGCGTGTGTATATGGTTGATTCTCCCGAAGTCTGCTTTTTGCATGTCTTTATGCCATATTCTTAAACTGGTGAAGATAAGCCAAATCTGGATTGGTCGTTCATTCAATATTGTTGTATTCTTCATGATAGGACATAAATATTTCAATTTTTTAGGGCCAGTTAAATTTGCCGTGAAGATATACATGCCAAATGTCACCTCCGTGGCATGTCTACATCTCAAAATCAACTCCATTTGCATATATCATGCATTCTCATAAGCACCTGGCCCTATAATAACTACGAGACCAGCTTCTATACATCCAAAGTAAAGTTTCGGTCTATCATAGGGCCTTGAAAAATATTTAAAAAAAATTTCCCACACATTTGAAAAATGTCTTGGATTTTAATCATGCTTCTGAATAATTTTAAACATACCGCCTGCTTTAGGTCGCTAACTCATTTTTGATGTCCCTAGATACGTAAATGTCAAGTATTATAGCCCAGCTTTCGATTGGTGTAGGTTGCGGGTTTCAAATTTTACATTTTATCTATGCTGCGATAATTATTCTATTGAAAAATTCACGTGTGTCAAAAAAACTGTCACCTCCGTGGACATGAATATTTCGAGCTAGGATCATTCTTTTTAACCGCTCTCCCCGTCAAAAGACTCGTTTTTCATGACCAAATTTCGGGTTGTGCGGAAAGTTTTGTGCGTTTCTTATTTTTCTTACATAGATGATCAAAGCAGCGATTTGTCACCTCCGTGTGTGTCACCTCCGTAACCCACAATAGTCAATTTTAAGCATAAAATCGAATATAGTTTTCGTAAAACGAAATCTCAAGGCCTCAGATTCAATGATTATTCATATTTTATGGTTTAAAAAAGGGTGAACTAGTTCGCGCCGTTCAATGCGACAAAAAAATTTTCACCATTTTTTCATTTTCTATACCCGAAAAAGCAGACTTCGGGAGAATCAACCATATGTGTGTACGAGTGCTTGTGCACTGGATAAATGGTATATTATAAATGTATGTGTGTGAATGTATACAATGCAGCGACGTGAAAATAGGTGAGAGTGGCGCAATGTCATCACAGACATTCGACGACACACGTTCGACGACGAGTGCGTTGAAAAAAAATTAGCATATGCATGCACATATTGTACATATTTTTACCATAGTGCCTAATTCTAATGTAAAGTGCGAAAAACGAAATTTAAAATATTCGAAAATTTTTGTTAAAAAATATTAACAATCATAATTGGTTGCATATGACAAAATTTATGTCATTGTTATGCAGTTACTTAAAAATGCGTACAAATAAAATTTTAATTAAAAAAATAAGAGTACAATGTGATATTAAATTTAGAAATGAAAATCAACTCAAGTTTATACATAAAACTATGAATAATTTTTCTAAAAATCAAATGTAATGAAGCATCGTTCATTTTGAGTGTAATTTTTGTATTATATAAAATTAGTTATGAAAATTTTACATGAATAGTTTTTAAGTACAATTAGTATTTATAATTTTTTTAGTTAATTTTAGGTTAACGGTACAATTTATGCAACATTAGATTTATTGTCTATTGATATATAATACACAAATTTATATACATTTTCACTACATTATTCATAGATAAAATACTGTGAATTTGGTTGATATCAATTATAATTAATTCCGCAAGTTGATAATATGATTTATCACACATTTATTCATTTTTGAAACCGACGTTCAAAATAAATTTGTTTTTACTTAATTTTCATTTAAAAATCGTACCTCGTGAATTTTCCATATTAATTGTGTAATATTAGTTGTGCTTAATACGCTACTTAAATTATGCATAATTATCTCAAGTAATCAAAACAACATTCGAACATTCCAATTGTATATTTATGTAAAGTAGTCCTAAAACCATTTTGTGAATCAAATCTCCGATAACTTATTACTAAGTAATTGTCTAAATACAAAATTTTTATTGTAAGTGCTAGTCACTTGTTGTAGAAAATTGATAATAAAATTTTTGGTTGGAATGAATCATGCGTGTTGATAATTCATGTTTTATTCTATTGACCGATCGCAACATGCTGGGCTCGTTGGAGGCGGATTCGCAGCTTCAATTAAACATTTTCAAGTTTTTGGTAACAAATACTAACAGATCCAAATAAAGTAATAAAATGTTTTTACCTACTACCGTGAGTGTGATAATTATGGTGTATCATATTTATAACAGTCACGTATATTAAATCGTCAAGTTAAATCATTTATAAAATATCCTTATTTGTTCTTGTGATGGAACTTTATTAACTGCGTGAAAAAAACTATTTTTTTGCGAAAGATATTTTCACCTTTAATCCATTTAAAAATATTCAGTCTAATTTGAGCTAAAAAAGTGGAAAAATTGGAAAACATATTTTACGTTTAGACCTCATTTGAAGTATTATTAACAAAGACGCTATCTAACGATCATACTTACAGCTAGTAAATACTTGAACTATTGATTTACAACTGTGCAGAATTTATAATGATTCCAGTGTGAATACTTATTGATAATAAAAAAACAGATGCTAAAAAAAGTCGAATAATAACGAAAATTTAATAATTATATGCGGTATAATACATGCACGGTAATGGGTGCATGCCCACGGAAATGCATACACTTACCTTTTTTTATGAATTGATTTTTCGTAATAATGTTTTTATATTAAAAAACATATGATTAAATTATTTCTTTAAATTTGATCGCATAGCTATATTGAGCTAAAAATAAATCCATGGTAATGAGGATATTAACTCTAATCAGTTTTGGTTTCTGGAATTCTGAAAATTTTTTAAAAATATAAAAATTACTGAAAACAATTAAAAATATGAACCCAATAATTTTTACGAAACTTCTACTTGAAAAAATTATTCAATTTAAATGCTGTATACAGTTACGTGAGGCAAAATTTACGCAAGTGTCTGACGAATTGCAGTCTGATATTTTAAATCACTACTTTTTCTCTAAGAATGTAGATCTAGATTGTTTTATTTATATTGCTTTTGTTATACAGTGTACAGAGTAAACTCAAATTGATGCTTTTGTATAAGAACACTTTATTGAACACATACATGTTTAAGGTTTGATGAGTAATATAAGTATGCTATATCAGGTAAGAAACTGTACACGACAAATGCGGACTTGGTCTCGGTTAGTACTCTACTGCCGGTGAGAAGTCCTCACGTACGCAACACACTGTTCAGAAGGAGCCTCGCTTTGCACAGACATGCGCATACACGCCACGATTCCAGCAAACGATTTACTTTAACAGCTTTAATCCGTAGATTGACCTTTTGAGACGACTTCATCGGTCCGATTTATCATTAAAACTTTAAAAAAAGAAGGAAAGGTTTCTTTATAATCAATTTCAGCACGTTGCAGAATACTATGAGCCACACGACGAGCCCTGTCCCATCAGATTTCTACTTTATTCTGAATACTCAGCGATGTTTAATTACGTGTTTTTCTGATGTACTCGTGATGGCTGTAACCGGAAGGACGTACGAGGTTGAGGACCTCCTCAGCTGCGCTATCACAAGGATCCGCCGCGCCATCATACTTGAGGACGAAATGAACTAGCACGCGATTGAGTCCTTCACCCACACAGTCACAACCAAACTGAAGACCGACGAGATGGCCAGGACTTTTCTGATTGCTCTAACTTTTTATCATTTTTCGTTTTGCCTGCTATACATAAGCCATGTAATAGACCGTGTACACTAGAGCGGAGCGAAAAACACCTATTTTTGAAAATCGCTTTGTAATAGTGTAAAAAGTTATTCTGTTGCCATACAAAGAAGGTAGCCTAAAGCGCATCACTGACAATGAAGTCTTTCTACATTAACCAGTGAAAAAATGCTGTTCTTTTACGTTTTTTCACTATTCCTCGTTTTCTAACCGCGTTTTGAGTGAATATGTTAATAATCTCTTATCTAATTTTTTTACCCTTTGGAAGTGCTGAAAAATGTTAAATAAATAACTATTATGGGTCAGGAGTCCAAGATTTGCTCTGGTTCTTCCCCCAGGCGTATTATAGGCCATTTTTTCCTTTTCCTTTATTTTAATCTTTACTTTGATTAGCTGCTAACGAGTCATTTTTTGACTAAATCGGATTCGGGAGCCAGGAATCTCTTTGCTTAAGGTGTATTTTTCATGGGGTTAATGTGGTGAGGGCCTAAGATGGCCTCAAAAAATTCTGCCTGAGGTAGAAATTGGACATTTTTTAATCCTACAAAAATCAAATCAAAATTATTGTTTATACGGCTATAACTTCTAAACTATTGAAAATATACAAAAATATTTTATTTCATCTCAATCTACACGAAAAGACAAAGAGTTATTTTTTACTTTCTCTTAGAAGAAGCTATGTGATCGGCTCGAAAATGAAATTTGGAACTAGATGTCGTAGGAAAATTTGGGTTACATATTTGGAAACTACACTGAATTATCAACAAATGTCTGTATGTATGTTGGCCTTCTCGGCTTTTTGGCTAAGGTAAGAGTGTCTATTCAAGGGAATCTCCCACGAAATTTTAGAGCACGGTAGGTTTATTTGGAGTTTTGTATACGAAAATGGAAAAGGTCGTATACGAATTCTCCCTTCAATAGCCAAACCCTTTCATCAATAGAATTTTTCATGAGGAAGCTCTTTGCCAATAAATTGGCATCGGTTTTTTATTCGTCTCAATACGACCATTAGAACCGGAGATATTATTAGTGAAAAATCCGTGGCGTTTGGGGTACATAAGTGCACCAATCCGAAAGGGCCAACTGAAAAGTTCCAAGCTGAAGTTACAACTGTTAAAAAGGCCAAAACATGAAAATTCCAAAACCTTAAAGTACCAAAATATATAAGGGCTAAAAGTATAAAAAAGATATATATTTATTTCACATTTTTAGGTGGTAGCGTGCATGTAAAAGATAATCAAGTTCTATTTGATCTTCGACATATTCTGCGTATTGCGAAACAATATTAAAAAGGCGATCTTCTGCCTTCAGGAAGGTGGTTGACGGTAAATTTTAATTTCTTGGCCTAAACTGAGTTGCCTATTCATGCATTCAGTGTCTCCTTGCTCATGCTGAATTTCGGTTAAAAAGGTGTGGAAGCTAGGATGGTATCATCTAATGATAACTTGAAGCCGGTTAGGCTACCCTTCGGAGGCATTATTCTAGCCAGTACTTCCAAAGGGTAAAAAAAATTAGATAGGTGATTTTAACACATTTGCTCAAAACGCGGTTAAAAGGCGAGGAATAGCGAAAAGACGTAAAAGAAGAGCATTTTTTCACTGGTTAATGTAGAAAGACTTCATTGTCAGTGATCCGCTTTAGGCTACCTTCTTTATGGCAAAAGAATAACTTTTTACACTATTACAA